GGGTTCCACAAGGTTTTATGAGTGTGCTCGGGTTTTCATGGGTCGGGTGTGTAGAGGTCTCATAGGGGTTTCATGAGGCTCCAACCGTTCAGCCCCAAACCCAAAAACCCGAACCGCCAAACTCTAACAAACTTCCCGAAACCCTAAACCCTAAACCCTAAACCCTAAACCCAAAACCCTAAACCCTAAACCCTAAACCCTAAACCCTTCAGCTTCCGACGGTTTGGGGCCTTTAAGGCGTGGGGTTCAGCATCCCCTGGCCGTCTTTGTTATCTGATCCATGCATGAGCGGACCTAAGCCCGAGCTGCGGACGAACCCCTAGCAGAATTTTTACAGGAAGCCTTGAAGGAACTACGGAACCCTCATAGGAAGCTTTAACGGAAGCCTGAAAGGAAGCCTTAAAGAAACAGAAAGGGCTACCGTGGGGGCCTGCGTTTGTGAAAGGGCAGGTTTCACGGTAGCGCAGGCTTTCGTCTTCTTTTATCATGGCTTGCTGGTTCGCCAGCGGTTCCATCATCTGTTCTGTTTTAAGTTAGGGTTTAGGGTTTAGGGTTTAGGGTTTAGGGTTTAAGGTTTTGTTGTGATGTTGTCATACATGTTGCATGTTGTTTTTGTTGTCTGTGGGCACAAGCTATGGTCAAACAGTTCTGTCGTTTAGAAACACTGCTGTTGCTTATACAAAGAAACCCCACAAAGGAATCCCTCAAAGGAGCCCCTTAAAGGAACCCCTTGAAGGAGCCCTTAAAAGCCCGAAACCGTAAACCCCTAAACCCTAAAACCTAAACCCTTAAACCCCTGAACCCTAAAACCTGAAGGAACCCCTTAAAGGAACCCCTGGCAGACCTACGGAGCCCTGAGAGCCAGGAAGAGATGAAGAGGAGGCTGAAGGAGCTCGAGGCCTGCATCAAGAAGCAGCAGGCGGGCATCTTGAGCGTGCTTGTTGGGCTCTTTTTGGGGTTCTGGGCCACCCTAAACCCTAAACCCTAAACCCTAAACCCTAAACCCTAAACCGCTCTTTTTAGGGTTCTGGGCCACCCTAAACCCTAAACCCTTAACCCATTTTTGTTTCTTTCGTGTGGGGATGTGTTCTAGACGGGCTCCGAATTAGGGCTCTTGTCTTGGGGGTAGTTCCAGGGTTGAAGATCTTGGGTCCGAAACCCTATGTCCTAAACCCTTTAGGGTTAAGGGTGTTTTGGGTTTAGGGTTTAGGGTTTAGGGTAAAACCCTAAACAACAAGCCCTAAACCCTCGACTCCAAAGCACCAAGCCGGGTTTAAGGGAGGGGGCGGCTTTCACAGGATTTGCTGTTTAGGGTTTAGGGCTCTTGGAGGTTCATGGGACTTAGTAACTAGGCTTAGACATAAAGGAACTCTATTTATAATTACTTATAGCACCAGTTTAGGTGGCTAAAACCTCACTTACCAAGCCGCATGAACTTCCTAATGGGGCTTGCGCAGACCGAGCCAAGAACGGGACCCTAAACCCTAAACCCTAAACCCTAAACCCTAAACCCTAAACCCTAAACTCAAGGCTTGAAGCTTTGCGCAGCAAAATCGGAACTCTGAGTCGTAAAACTTGAACGGCAATATAGGGGCTTAAGAAGTAATTACCAATACTGTTTTGAGGGTTTCTTGGTATAACTGTAGTACAATATACCCCACGACTTATTCTAGTTATTAAGGCTTTATATTTCACATATGAAAGACCCCTATGAGACCTCGTCGAAGAAGCCGTCATCAAAACCAAGGACGAAATTTCCAAACTCCGCAGAAGAATCTAAAACCCTACAAACCCCGTGTGAAAATTCGTCAACAGCCATATAAACAACAACAAACCCAAAAGCCGCAAATACGTAAAACTTTCAAAAGCCTAAGCCCTAAACCCCAAAAGCGCTAGACCTTAAGACCTCATGACAACCCTAAGCTCCCTAAACCCTAAACCCTAAACCCTAAACCCTAAACCCTAAATCCTAAACCCTAAACCCTAAATCCTAAACCCTAAACCCTAAGCCCTAAACCGTAGCCCAAAGCCTCGCAGGAAGGCATCCAGGTCCTCATCGAGGAGAGGGGGCGCCATCTATGTTGGGGTTTCTTGATTTTTTGGGGCTTTTCTAGGGTTTAGGGTTTAGGGTTCAGGGTTTATTTCTAGGGTTCAGAGCTTTGGGGTCCAGGGTTTAGGGTTGTACAAGGTCGGGCTTTTTGCGGCTTTTGATGGCGCACTCCTCATTCATCAGGGAAGAACCCTAAGCACAAACCCAAAATCCTTGCAGAGCCTGTTTCAGGAAGTCTCAAAGGAATCCTAACAACTTTCTTTTAACAGGCACTCCTCATGCAAACCCTAAACCCCGAGCTTACTTTCAAAAGACACTCCTCATCCCCTAAGCCCCCCAAGCCCTACCCTGAACTCTAAATCCAAAGCCCTAAACCTAAGCCCTAAACCCTTCGGTTTAGGGTTTAGGGTTTAGGGACCTAACCCTTTCGGAGGAGAACACGAAGCTGCGGGAGAACGTGGAGGAGGCGGTGGAGCAGGCAGAGGCGCGCTAGGTTTTAGGGTCGCAGCCGGGTTTCGCATTTCGTTTTCGGATTTTGCAGGAGTTGGTAATGTAGGGGCCTCAATCAATAATAACCTATACCAGTTTGGGGGTTCCTTTATGATTATAACTAGAGTATACTATAGTTACCACAAAAAACCCTCTTCTAGTTATTAAGGCCCCTACATGAAGGTAATTTTTTGTACCGGTTTTAATCTTTGAGGCTGTCAGGGGGGTTTGCAGTAGGGTTCTCTTGCAAGAGCCTCTATGCCTTCGCAAGTGCTTGCTTAGGGTGTAGGGTTGCCCCTAATCCAAAATCCTAAACCCAGTTTATTGTAATGTATAGCGAGTTTTGCGTGGAATACCTTGCCCGGGATTCCTGAACGGGCTATCTTGGGCGGGCCTTATGGTGGTCCGGATGATGCGATTGTTGGCGTCTTCGAGAATTTTAGGCCACCAGCGGACGGGCTTGTTGTCGTTGCCCGGGGAGCGAACCAGCAGTGCCTCCATTGCTTTCGCTGGACCCACTGGGTCTGTTCCTGCAAAGCCATGTATCGCTTCATTCTCAGACGCTTCGCGAATCAGTTGTTTGAAGAGGCTTTATTTTCAGCCGAGAGGATGGCAAGAGTAGCCGCCCGGCACGGGGAGAATGGAAATGCTGCCTGCCGGGAGAGCCTGGCCAGTGGGTCCTCTGGAGTTCAGCAGGGGCTTAAAAGGGTTTCGAGGGATTCTAGGGGTTTGCCATTGCGGTTATACGTTTTTTTTTGTTCTTGTAGACACCCTAAACCCTAAACCCCTAAACCCCAAACCCCTATAAACCCTAAACCCTAAACCCGCAAACCCTAAACCCTAAACTCTTCCGTCAAGGGCATGAGCATGCAATTGTCACTGTAGTCCGTATGAAGAAGGAAGTTTTCAATCACAGGGGCCGTGGTTGTGTAAGGTTTGATGGGTGTGTAAATTGGGTTCCTATAGTTTTGGTGTCTCTCTCTACTATCATGATCATCATCACCACACCTGGGGGCTGACGGCTTTGGCTGATCTTGTCATTTTGGTGATTCCCCCAAAACCCTAAACCCTAAAACCCTAGACTGGCGTCCATCCAGGCATGTAGGGGTCAGGGTTGAGGAGTTTAGGAGTGCGTGGGCTTAGCGGATATGGGCTCAGGGGTTCAGGTTCTGTGCTTTAGGGAATGTGAGAGAACTAAGCCTTTGTGTTGACCATCCTAAAGCCTAAACCCAAAACCCAAAACCTAAAACCCTAAACCCTGAACCCCAAACCCTAAGCCCGTAGAGTTGAAGGTGTTGAGTGAAGAAGCCTTTTGGATGGCTCCCTCAGGCTGTTGGTCCAAGCCTTAAAACCCAAACCCACTCGGGTCGCCTGAATTCTAAGGCCCCCTGATCTTTTTGAAAAGCCTTAAAAACAGCCGCCAACATTGCAAACGCTTAAAAAACCCTGCCAGCCTAACAGCGCTAAAAGCCTTAAAAGCCTTAACGGTCCTAAACGTATACAGTCCTTGAACCCCAAAGAGCTCTAAACCCTAAGCTTCGCAACCACAAAGTGAGCAAGCGAACAAGAAGCCACGTGTTCAACCTTATGCCTTCATCCGCAACCATCTCCAAACAGGAAACCTCATAAATCCTAAACCCTGAAGGCCCTAAGCCCTAAGCCCTAAACCCTAAACGTAAAAACCTTAAACACTAAACCCTAATTAGCCTAAACCCTAAAGCCCTAGACCCTTATGGTCTCTTTATGGTTCCCGTATATAGGAACTTAAGGGGACCCTCGAAGGAACCCTACAGCGTAGTCTGTCGTGCCGTGATTTAAATGGTGTAACCAGGGCTATAAATAAAGGTCGCCAGACTTACAACCACTAAAAAACCCCATTTAAGGTACTTTATCACGGTAGTTGCTAAGTCCACAGAGTACCCTTATAGAAAACCTTCAAAACCCTTACCGCCCTAAACCCTTACCGCCCTAAACCCTAAACCCTAAACCCCTCTAAACCCTTACCGATCCCTTCAAGGAGCCCGTTGAGTTACTAAGTCCCATGAGCCTCCAAGTTCTGAGCCCCAAGCCCTGCATCCTAAAAGACCCTAAGCCCTTAAAGGAACCCCTTCAAGGACCCTTAAAAGAACCCTATAAGGACCCCTTAAAGGAACTCCGTATAGGAAGCCTTGAAGGAGTCCTGAAATCCCTAAACCCTAAACCC